TGGAATGCCCAATGCTGACTCTTTCCAGTGTTCTCCCCTGCTATGAATATATAGAGGATACTTTTTTGCAGGGGGCATAGCCCCATGTGTTCACCAGTATTGTGAAATATCACCATTAAGTTATTGCATTATTTTTAGTTTAGTATGCAATTTCTCTGGTACTTTCCATGCCCTCCCCTGTTATCCAAGCCAAGAAATTGGGGGTCTGAGGAGGTACTGTGGTATAATTCCTACATATATGTGAGCTAGAGGATGAGAGAAATCCATTGATATCAAAGTCAGTTATGCAAAGGTATTATGAAAATTTATCTCTATAAATTACTGAAAAGGTTTATAAGATTTGGCAATTCTCAAACCTATAACAGCAACTATATGAGACTGTGATTGCTGTGACCTCCATCTATTGGTGCTGGGGCAAAGGTTAACAAACTTCCACCTCGAGTATTTAACAGGATTGAGCTCAGACTGGTTCCTTGTATGACAGCCAATCATTAGTGTGATTTGTTGACTTCCAGTGGACATTTGTTGTCCTTTTGCCAGGGTGCCAAAGGTACAGAGAATACTTGAGTCTCTGTGGGTGTATTGATAAGCATTACATTGATTTTCCTCTCTCTGGCCAGTCCTGTCACAAAAGACACCCTTTTAAAGTACAGTAAGTCCCCAACTTAAGAACATAATGGGGACCAAGAGGTTTTTTGTAAGTAGATTTTTTTGTATGTCGAAAGTCGGGTCTCCATTACCTTTTTTCCCATTGTTTTAAAGTTTTGTTTACATTAAGAATACCTGTAAATAAATCCCAATAAGTACGACATACTCTATACAGTACCAGACTCTTGAACAACATTCGTGGCCGTGAAATTTGAAGTTTGCTAGTATCTTTCAAACAATTTTTTTGGACTTTAGTACTTAAAAAAAAAAAAAATTCTATGTATGGAATGTTCATAAGTAGAATGTTCTTAAGTAGGGGACTATCTGTACTTGTTTTTAAAAGCAGCTATATGTTGATAGGCAAGATGTATGGATGCTATAGCCAGTATAACAATAAAGGTGCCTTTATTTACAGTGAGATGATAATGATCATCCAGCTTATCGGTTAAATGATTGATTTGCAATTTTACTTAAAAAGAATGAATTCATGCAATTCCTGCAAAATATTTACAGAACTTGTTCCTTGAGCAATGCTAGTAAATCTAGCATTGAATATGTAAATAATTTTATTCTTTAATGTTGTTATATTAGCTGCAGAAATTTGTTTGTTTATTGCAAACATGATCAATTTGTACAGCAGTAAACTTATTCACACTGGGTAACATCCTGTCATGTCATGGGGGAAAATCTCAGATGCTGGATTCTGGAGTTTATTTTGTGGGGGAACTAAATTGACATTAGCATCATGTTTCATATATAAGTTCAATAGTTTATAATGCAAGTCTTGGTTATCCAAACTTATAATTACAAAATCTCTCATTATTTCAAACTTTCTTATCCATAGCAGTATGGATCACCAATCTCTGCCAAATGTAACGGCAGGCACATTATCACCAGCACTCCATCCAACACAAGGTGTCAAGCATGAATTATCCTCGGTAGTAGACCTACGACCTGTTGACACAGGCATGAGGTCCATGAGCAGTGATATGCAACCAGTGGAGGAGGACTTGCAACATGTGGCCCAGGACATTCACCAGGTCAGTCGACAAATACACCAGGTGAACAGTGGCATTCCCGTGGAGGAGCTGAGACTGACTGAAGGGAACATGCAGAGTGTGAGTGACGAGCAAGTGGATCCTCTGGGGGTGACGAGCGAGGACACACTGACAATGGACGGCGAGATGGGGGACATGGAGCAGAATCAAGACGTTCAGGTCATCGCTCATCAGGTGAGGTTGGATCGTAATTCCTTCTATGCCTGTTTTATTTTTCTGTGTCTTGTTTGTTGGAATGAAAGTGAGTGGAGTGATATAGGGATCCATATTTTGGTATTTACTCCTCAGTAAGGATGAATCAGCAGTTGAAATAAAAAATTAAATTAGTATGTTATCTGTTAGATTATTACCTTGTTATAGATAGAAGGTAAAATATCCTAAATTTAACAGAAAAAGAAATCTACTGTCATTAATAGAGCAATGTTGTTGGTGCAAAAGTGGCATCATTGTAAGCCTTACAGATCCATTAATTTTCTCTAGGTAACAGTAGTGTCAATATACGTTTGGTTAAGCTGCCAAGCTCAGTAGTAGTTGTTATCCAACTCTGACTACTATTTTTGTTAAATTTGTTTCTGTATTGAATAATTCATAGCTAAAGATAAACTAAATCAGTATCTCCCTCCTCCAGGCCAACCTCCTGGAGGATGCATCAGGCGTGATAAGCTCTGACAAGACCATCAAGCTGCCAGGGTTTTCAAGCCAGCAGGCTCCTCATGAGGGTCATGACCCACACGACCTTCAGTTGAGCAGCATAACTAGTGGTGCAGGAACATTGCCCCTCGATGCCCAGCATTATTACGAAAGCCTCCACCCAGCACCTATTATGGTCTATGAAGTGCCAGCAGGTAACATTGTTCCCTTTGATTCTCTCGTCTCGGTGCCGCTGGGAAAGAGCATAGGTGAGAAGAATAATGAAGGAGTCGACTTACTGCAGGCATCTGTGAGTGAGACTGTGTATGCGCATCAGTCGCAGGACATGTCTCATCCGTTATATGTGCTGCATCAGCCACAGAAGAAAGAAGATAGTTCTGAAGGAATGGTGATCGAGCAGATCAACTCCAATGATGGCGTGAGCCCAAATATTGTTCTGGAAAATAGAGATGCAAACAGTTTTAATAAGGTGGAAGGTCATTCATCTGGCATGATGCCCATTGGCTCAGAGTTCAGCTTGATATCTACTTCTTGTTATGATTCCTCTGTCACAACAGTTGCAAACATGGCACATCTCTCCATGTCTGCAGTCTACCACTCTTCCACGGACACAGACAGTGAAGTAGCACTAACGCTTGCCAGTTTAGGGAACCCAAAAAATGAGAAGATGGAGAGAGACTGCGTGCAAGCTCAGAATACGGAGCCTTCAGATGTCATCCGTGCAGCTTCAATCATTTCTGGAGTCACACAACACCAGCAGTTCGATAACATACATCACCAGCCTAACAATACCTTGGAAGACCAAATGGGAAAAAAGGACCAGAAATCCACCCTTGTCTTGCGAAGTCGAAGGAGCCGCGGCACGACACCCAACCAACAGCAGCAGCAGCAACAGCAGGACATGGCAGCTGAGGAATGCAAGAAAGTGAACAGAAGGAAGAAGAGAAAAGATTCAAGACTAGTCAATTTTCCCAAATCAGAGGAAAACAACTTCATAATTCCAGACAGTATACTGCCTGTGAGGAACATGTCCACGCCATCTATCACCCTGCAGAATGAATCTCAAAAGGAAAACCTTCTTGGCCAGCTCCTTAAGGCCTCTGAACATTGTGAACCTGCCACACTTATACCTGAGGGCGTTGTGGACGATGTCATACCTGCCGTCGGCTATAGGATTATGGACATGACGAACCTGAGTGAGATGATTAAAATGATGCACAGATGCACAGGCTCCATGGGGGCCATAGTCATCCAAGAGCAGGCCTCCCTTAGAGAAGGAGCGGTGTCTCAGCTCAGTGTGATTTGTACTGGATGCCAGGTGAGTTTCACACTGTGTTCCTTTAGTATGGTGGCAGAGGCCTTTTGGAAGATAACTGCTGTAGGTTGTTAAAAAAAAGAAAAAAGAAAAAAAGAATAGTTTGGCCTATTTTTGTATGAAATTCTTGGTTTATCAAGGGCAGAGATATAATTACTTTCTTTATGCAGTTTTGTATGGGATGGTTTTCAGTTTAACTTTAATCTAGATTAACATTTAGCTGACATTTATCAGAAATAGATATATTTTTATTAGATTTTACTCCAATTTTTACTACGAAAAAGCTTTACAAAAAGACCTTTTTGGTGCTGAAAAAAATCCAAGGGGAGGCGTACCATGACAAGCCAAGCAAATGCAAAGCTCCCTCTCCATGAATCTCCTTTCACATCCCTTTTCATAGCAACTGGGTGTGATATGATCTAAAATGCACAGTAGAATTTACTCATAGAGTTTACTCATTTTGGTCCTTCAATGCACCACTAATGCCCAGTATTAAAAGCTGCCCATCTTTGTACGTTAAAAGGAAGGAGCTGTGTGCGCCACCAGTAACAGAACACTAGCTACTGGACCTTGGGACATCAATGCCAGAGTGGAACAACTTACCAAAGAGTTCAACATTAAGGAGGACCAGGTTCAGCGCATGTTAGAGATCCTCGGCATCTTCTACCGCCCCTGTGATCCGTCCCTGCAACCCATAGCGCAGACGATGGTAATGGCATAGGAAATTCCTCGCTCCCTTCCTCTCCTCCTTCATCATTTCCTCCTTCTCTGCTTCCCTCTCTCCCTCCTCCTCTTCCTTCTCTCTCTCTCTCTTACTCTCCTCCTCCTCCTCCTAAATTATTGTGCTTATATGTTAGTTAGTCACTTACATTTTGATATATTTATTTTAAATAGTCTTTCACCTGTTTCTAGGAAATGGAACCGGCACCAGCTCAGCCTCCAAAGAAGAAAAGAAAAAAGAAGTCGGACACAGATTCTTCTGGAAAACCCAAGAACTTGGTGTGCACCGTTTGCAAAGAAAGATTTGTTGGTGTAAGTTATTTTTTTGATAATTTTCTAATATAATGATTTTAATAAATAAAGTGGCATGCAAAGACATATTTGAATTTAAGCTTTTCTGGTTATGATAATGTGATATTCATGTTAGCTTTGGTGATATTTTTTTATTTTGCTTTCTTGCCTGTGATTATAATCTGCTGATTATTTGTAGTTTGTTAGTTTATTCTTGAACTCTTGAAAATATAATGATTTCAAGAGTTAAGATATCATAAAGTTCATGATTTAAAATACTTATATGTACATTACATTCACTAAGATTAGAAGAAGAAAGGTTAAGACTTGACATAGAATTACTTCTTTGTTATTGATTTTGCATGAATTTGTTTAGAGGACCTCAAAGAAAGATATTGTTATAAGGCAACTTTGACTTCACAGGAAAACCACCTTAAGAAACACATGCACAGCCATGACTTGTCACTCCATACCTGCCCTTATTGTCATGCCTACTTCAAGAAGCCTTTCAACCTGAAGCAACATATAAAGAAACATGAAAGTAAGTACAAAGTATTATGATAGATGATTGAGTTTCATATAAGAGTGGAGGGAGGTTCTTCAAGATCATTCAAGGTTGATTGAAATGATCTCAAGTAAAACATTTTGAGGTTTGTCATGAACGTATCAAAGGTTACCAAATGGTTTGCTGTATCTGATGATGTGAAATGCAAAAGAAACAGCCTGTTAACTCCTGTGTATAAAATATTTAACCAAATATTCTTTTGCATGTAGATTCTCTTGGATGATTGTACACTCTCTTGTGCTTTGGTCAAGATATTGTGGTAAATAGTATTTCCTTCCAGACTGCAAGTATGAATGTAACCAATGTCAGCGCGCCTTCACCGACAAGTCCACTTTACTTTGCCATGTCAGATCACAACACGAAAAGAGGTAGGGCTAAAGTAAAGTTACGTTTGTATCATATACTAAGCACTTTATTGTTTGTGATTTTCATGGCAGTATGGTATTGTGCACTAATGTGTATATAATGGCATTTTTCAGGTACAACATCCAGTGTGAAATTTGTCTGAAGAGGTTTTATCACAGAGCCCACTACAATGAACACATGAGGATTCATACCGGAGAGAAACCATACATGTGTGAGCTGTGTGGTAAAAAATTCTCATGGCATGACAGCGTGAAGAAACACATGCAGACACACAGTGCAGAATCAAAATACAAGTGTAGATTATGTGGCAAATGGTTTAGGTGAGTTGTCATGTAAACAAAGTTCAATGTGTTCCAAAATTACCTGACTGTACATACATTTCATTTGTAAGTTTTTGAGTCCTAATGGTGTGTAATGATTTGTCTCTAGTTTTGAAAAATCATATCTTATCATATCCTGATGAAACAGTCATTGTGTTTTTATAGGATTAAAGTCCTTTACAATATTGTATGGATTTGAAATGATTATCATTGCAGGTGGCTTCAAGGAGTTCGTCAACACTTGCAACAACAGCACAAGTTAAAGAAATGTGATATAGAGGCCCAGGTTGTCACTGCAGCAACCGAAACGGCCTCGGCTCTTCCACAGTATCACCAACAATCACAGCCTACTCAGCAGCAGCAGCAACAGCAACCACAGCACAACCACAGCCAAGCACAACAACAACAACAGCAACAACAACAACAACAACAACAACAACAACAACAACCAGGTCTTCCTCAGCCTCCAAATCAGCACCCAGATGATAACACCCCAGGGAGAGAGTACCACACGCTAGAAGCCGCGGCACCCAACGATGATGCAACCAACCAACAGACCCTAAATATGTTCCACGTGTCGGATGTGGAAGGCCAGCAACAAGGGATGTTCCAGTACCACTAAAAGCAAATGTACGAATATAGTTTTCACACTTTCACTTTTTTTTTTTTTTCTATCTTTTTCATTGTTTATTTTCTCTTTTCTTTCTTTTGTTTTGTTTTCTCTTTTCTCCTTTCTTTCTATCTTTCTTGTTTTTCTTTTTTTTTCTCACTTTTCTTTTTGAGATAAGAAAAAACAGATATACATGATCTGCAATATGGTTGTCGGAAAGACGGAAATCTGTATCGGAACATCTGATTGACTGTGATATACTTCTCATTATATTCTTCCATCGTGTCCCTATTCGTGCTCAGTAAAAGACTCAGGCAGATTATTTAAGGTGCGCATTCCTAAATGCTGTTCGTATGCTATAGTCCCATTATATTTTTTGAGGTGTAAATAGGATACTTAATGGAGTAATGTATTTGATATCTTGAAAAATGAATTAAGGCATAAATGTATGGATAATGGCATGATATCCAAAGCACAATTATTTTTTTGATGTCCAGATTATCCTTGGCAGTTATATAAATTGGTTCTCTCTTTCTTGCTTTCTGTCTTCTGCTTTGTCAGTCTTCCTCTCTTTCTTTGACTTTCTTTCATTCTTCCCTCATTCTCTCTCCTCCTCTCCTCTGCTTTCCTTTGTTCTGCTCACTTCTTTCTCACACAAACAAACACAAACATAATGTCACACTCACAGCATACTATAAATGCCGTTTACACTTCCAAGCATGTGCATTCTCACTACCTCTTTATCCAGATATACATATAGGAAATATTTATGTACAGAAGCTGACTTATGTATTATAATCTTTTACTCATAGGCAAATAATTTTTAACCGTTACTGAAGTGAGATGTACATACTTCTCATTCATGGGTGCTCATAATATATTGTTCATAAGCATTTTTTTGTGTATACTTATGGCTTGTTATAAATGTAAGATTTGTAAAAAAAACAAAACAATAATAATAATGAGTCATTTTAGATTTACTTGTTGATATATCACTTACTTTGTTGTGTTTATGACAGAAAATATGACAGAAAAATGAGAAATAAAATAATGTGGATATTCTGTGGGTAATATTTATTCCTGCTCATTACTTATTAGGGGATGTATTTGTCTATGTTTGTTTGAGTGAGAGTGAGAGTAGGAGAGAACGGTTTTCATTTTACATATTTTTAGATGATATATACATTCATAGAAACTAATATGACAATTCATTTGGCTTATAACTTTCTACTAGGAATTTATAACCAAATTATGCAATATAAATCATTGGTTAAATCGAAGAGTATTCTGTATGGATGAAAGAGAGAATAGGCAAATGAAAAGTAAAAGAAAGATGGGGAGGAGAGAGAGAAAAAATAAAGAAGCAGAGAAGTATGCGAAAAGAAGCAGAAGAGAAAAAGATAATGAAGAGCCAGAAACATATTGCTAATACACACAAATGCTAATACCAATATTTGCATTATGTTCAAACATTGTGTCAGTGTTTCATTAATATTTATTACAGAACTGATGACAATAGCTTTTCAAAGTGCATTTATTTCCTTGTTAATATTAATAAGATTTTGATGTCACTCAAGATACAACATGAACAGACTTGTTTTCATCAATATTTTTTTATCTTTTTCTGTTGATATTTCTTTGTACAGTTACATCACATAAGCTTCAAGAAGTGATATACATGTATGCATGCACATGGGTAGGCATGTACAAACTCATGCAAACCGTGGTTATTATCTTATTTTTTCACTTTTTATGTGTAGGTTTTGATACATAAGAGTATATATATATAAGAACAGTAGTTAGTGCCCATTATCGCATACAGCTTCACAGGGATATAAACATACCAATTTGTTAATGGTTATATGAGTGTACATTTGTTTAAAACCATTTTTCAACAATAATCTAATCCCTTACTTTTCTGTTCCTCTGGCTTTGTTAATATCCAGAGTCAACTTAATAATATTGATTAAAAAATAAAATACATTTTATAAGTCATGAAGTAAGGAGGTTTTTTGGTTCATAAGCCGATGTCTGTGGATCCCCAGAATAGTTAGTCGTCAAAATAAATGTGCTAAACATCAAAGGTCGTAGAGCATCATGATAAAGTATGGTGAAAAGGGTAAAAAAAAAAAAAAATCTGTTTATGATTAAGATAAGTGATAGAAGGAGAAGAAGAAGAGAAGGAAAAGGAGGGGTGGAGAATAAAAGACCATGAAGGATTAGACGATCCCATACATCGGGCCTCAGTCTCCGTCACTTGATCCATTCGCGCCGGGTGTCACGTATGAGTGACAGGCTCACTGAGTTTACTTGTTGAATTGTTTTCCCACATAGATGGCTACACTTGTACTTGTACTGCCTGTCTCACCTGTTTACCCTTTTCTTTAATTTACGAAATTATTTTGCGTTATCTTATTTTGTTGTTACAAATGTTTATAACATTATAGTAATTATAATGTTTATAATAAAAATAACCATCGATATTCATAGCACTAGTAAAAATACATTTTCCCGCCAATTCAAGTAAAGGTAAAATCAGGTAAGGCAGAGCCATCTAGTGTAGAGAAATTTCATAAAAAATGAGCACAGCCTTTTCCCCATTTTTTGTTCATTTTTACCCGGCACGAATGGGTTAAGTGACCTACAATGAGCAAGGGATTGGGGGCCACACTACCAGTGGGTTGAAATCACAGATTGGGGTAAAGACATGACTCTCTGTATTCAATAAATCTTTTTTTTTTTTTTTGCTGGGGGTGAAGTGGAAAGGGGTAACTCCAGATATAAAACTGCCATGAAAGGATATTCAGTAAAATTGAGCTTAGATGGTGTACTCTTCCAATTAAAACATTCTATTTTTGTAAACAGCATCAAGTTTATTTATGTACATGATGCTTAAATGGCTAATATTGACAAAACTTGACCTCTACCCTCTACAGCCATATTAAGGTAATGATTATTGCTTTTGGCAGCCACAAGGAACGCAGTACTTGAGACTTTGATGTGAACTTTCACCTAACTTTCCTCCTCCTCATGGTATAGCTCCAAACACAGAGAACACAGCTGATTATATCAAAGACTATCCATGATTGAGCTTTGTGGAAAAAGGAAACCCAGGTTCTAATACTTATTTTTTTCCAACAAGTTTCTATCAACTCTGGCAACACTAGGTTCCAAAGGGATAAGAACATGGTAATTAAACACTCATAAAATATAATATTTTATTAAAAGGAAGTGTATATATATTGTGCAGTATACACGTATTACCCTCATTATCCGTAGGACCCTAGTATAAGGTTATACTGTAAATCACTATCACAAGAAACAAACTTAGTAATTCTATCAATCTGGGCTGTCAAAATCAAGACCTAAAATCCTAAAATTGCTAATCAAGACAAAAATTTAAAACATCAAGGAAAACATTACTCATATCCTGGTCCTTGAAAAGGTTAAAATCATATGTTCACCTTCCTGAGATATTTGTGAATCAATAGCGTCTCTCGTTAAAAGTGCCAACAGCTTACACAAAAATTTTTGTTGCCAGATGCCATCAATTCGTCAGTAATTCAATAACTTCATTGTTTCCAATATGGTCTGCAAACACATTTTATGGTCTACACAAAGTGCAACGCAAGATATTACAGAAGCTGAGAGCTCTACGTTCGCGAGAGCTTCTCAGGAGGCATGTACCCACACTCCCCTAGCTGCCAAAGGCCCACCCGCCCGTCTGGTCGAACCACAAGGTGTGTCATGCTGCCGTTGTGCAGGGTGAGGCGCAACCAGGCTTCCGGGGGCAGCTGGAGAGCTCTGTAACAGACAAGGTTTGGGAGTTCTGTAAATGTATTTACTCTAGTAAAAGATATATTAATGATCCCTTTGACAAACAATACCAATGAGCTTGATATCTCTAAATAGGCATGTCTTCCATCACCCAAAATTTTCATCTATGATTTACAAAAGAAATTATCCATCAACCCCTCATTATCATAAAAATAGGAATTTTTCATTATACCCCCAGTAATGACAGAACAACCACTGACCTGCACACAAAGTATCTGATAACATTGGCATGACACACAAAGACCTCATAACTATCTTTTTCCTGGGAGGCTGGAGCTCTATGGATATATTTTCTGAAGGCAGCTTCGATGCGTGCGCCATCGGCGTAAAACTTCTGAGAGAAATGGGGATACCATTATCTTTTCTTATTTAAAGATGTCAAAAATGTGTTGCTGTATTAATGTGATTTATATAAACTATATTACATAACTGTATATATTCACTTGAAATGAGTACATTCATATATCTTCAAGAAATATCTTGCTGTAATAACATATAATCATCTATTCATCACCATCATGATCAAGAGTTCTCACAATACATTATATGAAGAAGAAGAAGAAGAAAAAGAAAATAACATGTATTCCACATACACACAGGTAATTGCCAGAACCCTTGCAGTCTAAAACCAAGTACTAAGAATTGTGTTAAATGAGCGGAAAGATAAATTCCTGAAATTCTACTTACGTGCATCTCTGGCTTCCAGCTCCCAATCGGAGGTTCTGGGGGTATGGGTGCTCCTTCCCTTAATAAATCGCATCTTTCAATTACTTCCACATTATCTAGCTTCTTCAGGATGATTTCTGCAGTTTCTGTGGCACGAGTCATTGTTGAGTAGACAACACGAGAGTATGGGTAGGTGAGTTCTTGAAGGCGTAGTCCAGTCAAAGCTGCTTGCTCTCGACCTGAGTGGAAAAGAATGCAATTTGATTATTAATAAAACTGCTCTCACAATTCACATGTTGTAATATTACAATACATAGAAACATATGCATGCAGACAAACAAACAAGCAGGTAGAAGCAGACAGATAGACATAGACACATATGAACACAAATTTCTTTTTATCAAGTGATGTGCTTCATTTGAGGGTGAACTCAAATCCTTTTATACACTTTTGCCCCATAGATTAGTACAAGTCCCCCCCATTCTTTGTAAAATACACAACCTGCTTATCATGCAACAGTTGTGCTTTGATATCATACCCAGACTGGTGAGATAACGTTCATGATCCGAAGCTCCCTCCAGATTGTATTGCCCGTGACGGATGAAGATCAAATGCCGAGAAGCAGTGGGACGGACTTTTTCGTAGCGATCGTCATGACCATCGAGGCCATTATTGTTTTCGTCTGCTTTGGATTTTGGAGGCTTCACTAAACTGTGCACTTCTCGCCTGGCAGGGAAGGAAGAAAAGTTAGAGGATTAGGGAGCTATGTTTAGCAGCACTATTTTTGTAAAATATGTTAGGTATGGCTTGAGCCTTCTGGGTAATAAATATATTTCATAAATGATGACAGAAAATTGCATGACCTATAATAAACCCAACCTGCCTAAACTTCTTCTATGGAAGAAATATCAGTGGTTTGTGTACTTGCTTAGTGGATTTTCATTAGATATTCAATCACTAACAATTAATCTTACAAGTGAAGACTCAGAGGGTGAAAAAAATCTAGATACATATGCAAAATAGATCCTAAACTGACAAGAAATGCTATGCAAGTGACTTTTTTCCTAATAGTTTGCTACTACAATGCACAGCAGTGTTAGTAAAACAGCAATAAGTGGTATCCACCTGCTTGCTGAGAATTATAACTTGTGCTCTGACTCTTGACTACTATCAAAAGGCTGAGACTGCCAGGGTTTGTCATAAGTGCATGTGACTCAACATGAAATGATCCAGTGCCATGTGCTGCTTTATACATAGTGTTCCAAGACAGATAGAACCTGCATTCATGAGGACTAAATAAATAACAAACATTTATCAATAACCACACCTGTCCTTTTTTTTGCTCATCCTGAAAGCCTTTGACATACCAAAAGGCTCAGGCAAGTAAAGGTATCAGCCAAGCATATGGTACGATGCACATACACAAAGCACACTGTAGGCTCCCAGACAAATC